CTGGATGAGCCACCGGTACCAGTGAGGAGAGCGGAGGAGTGGAGGAGTGAGGGAGAACTTAGGAAGGTTAAAGACCAGTGGAGCTGCTGCATTCTGGATGAGCTGCAGAGGTGGAATGGAGGTAGCAGGAGACCTGCAGGAGAGAGTTACAGTAGTCCAGGAGGGAGACGACAGGAGCCTGAATCAGAACGCACATTGGTAATAGTTCAAATAAACTCCCTTTTGCTCTCTTGCTGCTTTAGGTTTGTAGAAGTGAAGCGAAATCCAGAACCCTTTGTTTACTTACTTAAAGTTTAAAAGAAGACAAACCCCAGCGCCACCCCTTCAGGCGTTGCTTGACTGATTCTGATTGAGCCGCTGTGTGTTTGCAGGCATGGATGAGTTGATGGAGGTCTCCTTCTCCCCCATCGCTGCCTCTGGGAAGCCCCTGTCCCGCTGTGGCAAGTGCCGCCGCTTCATGAAGTACATCCAGGTCAGTGCAGACTACCATTCAAAGAAAGCACGGCGGGGGGTTCGATTCTCAGCAGTTGTCTGTTTGACTTTGGCCCCTTTCATGAGCGTGACACCTCCTCGTATATGAATATGGGTTTGCGGGGGCTCAGCTCCCCACTTTTACCATCTGCGTTGTGTTTAGTCTCTGGACTCTGATGCCTTGTCTCGCCCACTAGAAGTACTGAAGGTTCTATAAGGGTGCAGTCGGGCGGTCTTGTCCTCCTGTCCGTCTAGGGCAGAGTGGAGGTTAACGTTGAACCCGCTCACGCTGGTATATTCTGTCACTTCCTGTTGCCGTTTGGCCTTCTGCGTTCAGCTTTAAAAAAGAAATAAGAGTTAAAATGTGTTTCTCCGGTTATTGTCTCGTAGGCCTTGAGGGAGGACGCGTGGGTCATGAGGCGGCTGTTTCATCAGAACGTGTGCGTAGAGGCTCGTTGAGGGTTCTGGTGGAATGAAGTCGTCTCCCGGGGCTCGCGTGTTTAAACGTTTCTCCTCATCCGCAGACTTTGTCGTCGAGTGTGGTTTCTCGTTCTGTATTTGGGTGCTCGTGTCGTGGCGACGGCGCATGACTCCCGCCGCTGGGGGACGTGACAGTCTTCAGCCCGGTTGAGGTTGAGCCAAAGAGGAGACCGGTTCGCCAAATCTGACCAATAGTTTCCACAACAGCCTCTTCCACGTGCAGGAGAATGAGACGCCGCGGCGCTCATCCGGGGTCCCCTTCACGTGGTCATGTCTCAGATGGAATGTCTCTCTAGCGGGCGGCGTGAGAATGTTGATTACCTCCCGGACGGGACGTCCTCTTGTAGTTTCAACCCGTCACGCCGAACGACCCTCTGCTCACAGGCCAAGCCCAGCAGGCTGCACTGTTCCCACTGTGACGAGACCTACAGTCTCCCCCAGAACGGAGCCATCAAGCTGTACAAGGAGCTGCGCTGCCCGCTGGACGAATTTGAGCTGGTGCTGTGGACCTCCGGGCCGCGGGGCAAGAGCTACCCGCTGTGCCCGTACTGCTTCAGCAACCCGCCTTTCAGGGACATGAAGAAAGGTAGGACACCCCGGTGCTCGCACAGCTCACTGCGTCTTGGGAGTTTGTTTCAGGAATTATGCACAAAATGACAATCAAAAACTGAGACTTTTATAAAAAAAATTGCTTTTCTGTTTGTGGCTATTTTCAAAATAAGAGTATATGTACTTTTTCATTTTTCTTATTCTGTCACTTCTCACACCTCTTGCCATAAGCCCAACATTCAGAGGCTAATTCTGAAAATGCTACGCTAATGTCCAATAGGTTCAAAGGACGAGAATCTGATGTTCAGAACAGACTGCAGCATATAAATCAAGTCCATCTCTGTCTGATTTCCCAGGCATGGGATGCAATGAATGTACCCACCCTTCCTGTCAGCACTCGCTCAACTCCTTGGGCATCGGACAGTGTGTGGAGTGCGATGGTGGGGTTCTGGTGCTGGATCCCACTTCTGGACCAAAATGGAAGATGGCGTGTAACAAATGCAACGTGGTGGTGCACTTCTTTGAACACGCACACAGGGTGCAGGTAAGAATCGCGCCTTGTCCTGAATATATGGCCGGATGTCCCGTGCAGCGTGTAGATCGGCTTTAGCGCCGAGAATAGCAAAGACTGTGATCTAAATGAGCAGCTGATCTCTGTGGTCAGTGTCCATTCGGAGGAGCCAGTGCCGAGGCCAGATAGACTAACATGCATGTCCATAGTAACCAAGGAGACGCGCACATGTCGGCTCTCATGTCTGCTCATCCCCCTGTTGATGAAGGTTGCTCAGGAGAGCTGCGATGCCTGCGAGGCCTCTCTGGTGGCCGTGGACTTCAACAAGACTCGCACGCCGCTGCCTGCCGGCGAGACGCAGCACACCGGCTGTGTCTTCTGTGACCCCGTCTTCCAGGACCTGGTGGAGCTCAAACACGCCACCATGAGGTATCGGGGCGGGGGTGCGAGACGAGGAGGACGGGGACGCGGCAGAGGACGCCGAGGCAATCTTAGAAAACCTAAGGACAAAATGGCCGCCTTGGCAGCTTATTTTGTGTAGTGTCTGTTTGAAGTGCATCCTGTAATTTGTGTATTTTATTACACTGGAGTAAACTGTGTTGGAAAATGTCTCGTGTGTTTGTTTTTTGAGGCCTGGAGACTTTTGAAATGTCAAATAATGCAATCGGGAAACGAAGGCCGTCCTCGTGAAGTCTGACGCTCGCAGGTGGGATGTGGAGCACTTTTCTTTCAGAACGCTCCAATAGAATAAAGCTCATTTGGATATTTACACTGAGGCGTGTTGAGAGAAAGACGGTTACTACATACAACTTGAAGGTCTCATAAACGCAAAGCCACAAAATAATGCTCTAATATATTAACAACAGTCATTCTCCTGTCAAGCAATATAGTTCCTTACGGACGCGCAGGGGGGGGCATGCTGAATGGTTGGACATATACAGAATAAGTAATCGAGGGCAGTTCAGTCAGAACTTCATCGATGTACTAAATGCTAAGTGAGTCGCCACAATACACGTTCTGAATAAATTCAGATAGACCAAAAAAAGCATTTGTCATTTTGAATATTAATCACAAAAGCCAAGGCTGGCGTCAACGGAGTGACTCCCTGTGTTTCTCAGGGGGAGTGAATGCTGGCAAACTGCTTTGGTGGCCCTGAATGTTAAATGTTACGGCTCGTTTGAAAGCAGTGGGCACTTTGAGAGGATGTGGGCTCCATCGGAGCAGCCTGATCCAGTACCTGGCTCTAACGTTTCCAATCCGACCTCATTGCCGCTGTGCACCCGTCTGCTTATCCGGCGCCGGGTCACCGGGGCAGTGGGGGCTTAGGAGCGTTTCCCACGCACCCCTCTCCTTGGCAACAGGATCTCTGCTGTAGGTTCGGGGCCTCCTACCAGTTGGACTCACAGGGAGGCGACCAGGAGGCATCCTGACCTCCGCGGTCCCCAAGAAGCAGCTGCTCTACGGCTGCCTGAGCTCCTCCCCCTACCTGTGAGGCTGAGCTGAGACGACCCCACAGCTCCTGACCGCAGGTTCGGAGCCCAGATGGACAAGAAAATCTTTGCGGCAGGAACCGACCACGCTTGCAGAGCTGCTGGCTCCATTTCACGCAATTTCCCCCAAACTCCTTGACTCACCCCCAACACTGAGGGTGCAATCCACCATTTTCTGGCCTCAGACTGAGGTACTGACTCTCCTGCCAACTGCCTCTCACTTGTGCCCCAGTGGGGGCTGAACTGCATTTAGCTCTGCATGACCTGGTCTGTCAATTTTTGTGTGTCTCCTTTGTCAGCTGTCACCATGGTGATCAGGGGCCCTCTGACCTCATATTTGTCGTTTACTAAAAGAACGATTGTTTTTTACAAGCGGATGGATCATGGGTGCCATCTCCTTGTAAGACCAGTGTGAAAGGTGCGGCCTACAGCCCCACTGGAGCCTCGGTCTCCACACGCCTGCATGGATTTCATGTCCGTCGTGTTGCATGTCGTGACAGGTATATGCAGCATTGCGAGGGATCATTTCTTTCAACATCAGCCAATTCAAGGTCTTTTTTAAATGTTTTCGATTAGTAAGAAGAGGAACAGACCACACTCCCCCCTGAAGTCCGCAGAAAGGCAACTACATTGATTAGAGAAGAAACAAGCTGCTTTTCTGTCGCAGCTGGTCTGCGTTGAAATGCTTTAAAATGTCTTTTCCAGCATAGATGGCGCTCTCTCGCTCCTCCCACAGTGTATAGCTAGAGAGACGCTCCATTGAAGACTCATGCTAATGAATCTCCACTGCATTTTTTACCACAACTGAATCCCAGTCACAAAGGCATTCAGTGTCTGAGCTCTCTGGGTGGTGCCAGGCTGCTGACAACCACAACCAGAGGCTGCCTGATTCTGCATTCCAACCAGTCTGGGTTCTGATACCATAGAAGATGAATTGGGGATGGTGCCCAACATGTGTGGCACGCGCCTAAAACCAGCCTCAGCTCTTCATGCAGGCTGACTGGTGTTGATTCCAGGCTGTCTTATCATACAAACACCGCCTACACCATGAAAGGTTCTGGTTTGAAATCATTTTATTAGTTTTGTCACGGTCCATTTTCACATTGGTATTATTTGTCAACATTAGAGCTCTAACAATGTTAGTAAAATAGTCAAAAATCCATCTGCAAACATTTTCATTGTTATTATTGGATTGTTTGTGAAAAAATGCCAAATGTTAAATTGTTCCAGATTCCAGAGTGTGACTGTTTGAATCTTTTCTTTAAATCGGTATTTGGGGGGTTTAATCTCTGGAAAATGATTCAGTAGTTTTCCATTTTCTGAAAGTTTTAATTATCAAAACAATGGAGCTTAATTCATGATTAAAACAAGTTAAGCCCTATCAACGCTCTTATTCTGTAGTTACAAGCATACATTGCGGCTGATGAGTTTTGGTAGAGGTACAGCTGTAGTATTTATCCTGTAATCTTGCCGCTTGTAAATAGTGGTGTGGCCCTTTAACTCTCCAGTGGAGGGGGCGGGGCTTGTGTCCCGGTACAGGAAGATGCTCACAGCCGCCGCTGCTGGTGTAACGTTAGCAACGTAACTTACTACCATTACGTGGTTACAGCCCCACGTCTTCACGCGCAGGTTCGTGTGTCTTTATCACCGTTTCTCTGTTTACGTCTCGTGTGTCTAACGTTAGCTCCAGCACGCGTTCTCCAGAGGGCCGTTTTTATCGGTCGACGTTACCTAATTGAGCGGAACGAAGCCGCTTTTGCGGCGCCGAGTTCACACGTGCCATGTAACGTAAACGCCTCAGCCACGAGGACCCCTGCAAATGACTAACACAGCAGAACGCACCGCAGCGAAGGCTGTGGGTATCTGGCTACGCACGTAACGTTAGCTAACGAAAGCTCCGTCTGAGGTAATAATGTGTCACCACTGTGCAGTTTGTTGTGACTAACAACGCGACTTACTATCATGATTTGGGAAGTCGGAGATGATTGAAACAAGTAAATACCGTTATCTTCAGCTCATTCAAGTACACTCGCTACAGAGAGTGTAGGCTGCAGGGAGTGTAGGCTACAGAGAGTGTAGGCTACAGCGAGCGTAGTCTACAGGGAGCGTAGGCTGCAGAGAGTGTAGGCTGCAGGGAGTGTAGGCTGCAGGGAGTGTAGGCTACAGCGAGCGTAGTCTACAGCGAGCGTAGGCTGCAGAGAGCGTAGTCTACAGAGTGTAGGCTGCAGAGAGAGTAGTCTACAGGGAGCGTAGTCTACAAAGAGCGCAGGCTGCAGAGAGCAGGCTGCAGGGAGTGTAGTCTACAGGGAGCGTAGTCTACAGGGAGCGTAGTCTACAGGGAGCGTAGGCTGCAGGGAGTGTAGGCTACAGAGAGTGTAGACTACAAGGAGTGTAGGCTGCAGAGTAGTCTACAGAGTGTAGGCTGCAGGGAGTGTAGGCTGCAGAGAGTGTATGCTACAAAGGACTGGTTCAGTTTCAAGGAAGAAACTAGGAATACGTATCAGAATAAGAAATACTTTATTTATACCGCGGTTAAATTAGGTTACATTACATTCTTCCCATTCTACATTAGTTTGACGTAAAAGGGAATATAGAATATGAATCAACATTATAACGACAGAATAATACATATGTTAAAAGTATAAGAAATGTGTAGACTATGTACAGAAGAACAGTGCAAATAGCGTGTCTAGGTCTATGATTAATAGATGTGTAGAAATGCAAAAAAGTCATTGGATTTTCGGTGAAATGCCTGAAATAAGGTCTGATCAACCCAGTTGTGAAGATAATCGTGTTGAACTAAACGTGAAAATTATAAAATTGTGATTGGTGTGGAATTTATTTTCTTCGTAATAATCCAAATATCGTCAGGAATAGAGCATCACTGAACCAGTCCAACTCAATCTAACTATGTCTGGTTCCGAAGGGTACAAAATGTATATGGAAAAATGTTTTCTGTGGAGATATTACAACATTTAGTTGGACGTGGTTTTATTCTTCAATTTTTGTGTTCTTGGGAAAACAAGTAATATTTCCTGGCAATGCCTTTTGAGTTGAAGACATCTGATGACACCAAATCCAGCATTTTTACTTGTGTTACAAAACAAGAGTTCCATATTTGTACATTGACATCCTTGAATACTTGATATCCTCTAGAATGCCTGATATATTTGACAACACATCAGTGATGTGTTTACCGCTTAAATCGTGCTACTTGAAGCCTACGTCGTCTGCCTTTTGAAGCCCTGACCCCCGTTCACCTGAGTGCTCACGGCAGCCACAGTCGGCAGCATGGAGGAGGAGGCCCGCTCCTTCCTGGGGAGGTTTGCCGAGGAGTTCCCAGCCGCTCTGAAGGAAGGCGCTCCGCTACCTGTGAGCCCTCTGAGCCGCAGAGTCACCCTGGAGGAGCTGCATGGGGAGAGCCTGGAGCTGGGGCGAAGGCTGCTGGCTGCCAGGTACGACTGGGGGGGGGGAAGCATACGCACCTTTTGCATGTTCTTATTTGGCACCCCAATATTTCTATCATGGCAAAGCGTAGAATGTCTCCACGGTGAAAACTATGGAATGCTGTTTTAGTCAAAATTAAATAAATGAATAAATACGTGAAATATGCATTTGAAATACGTCATGAAATAAATAAATGAGGCAATAAATACATAAATATTAAATACATTTAATTATTTTATGGTACTTTTATTTCATAATGCCACTTTTCATTTCATGGTACTTTTATTTCATAATGCCACTTTTCATTTCATGGTACTTTTTATTTCATAATGCCACTTTTCATATCATGGTACTTTTATTTCATAATGCCACTTTTCATTTCCAGGGTCTTTTATTTCATAATGCCACTTTTCATTTCCAGAGACTTATTTCATAAGTCACACCAGTACTGGTGTTATTTGCACTATCCATGTGTGTGTGTGTGTGTGTGTGTGTGTGTGTGTGTGTGTGTGTGTGTGTGTGTGTGTGTGTGGCTGCATTCCTCAGATTCCTGACAGCTCTGTTCTTGCCCTCATTCACTATTTATGCTCGTCTCTGCGGTTTGACTTCACGCTGCTCTAAACTGTAAACATGAGAGCAGAAAGTACCAAACAACATAGCTGTAACGTAAGAGTAGCACTAATGTTACTCGTTGGAGTTACGCGTGGTAAATGTTTGTAAATGGAATTCAGACAGCACAGGACACGTACCACGGTGTCATGGTATCTGGGGAAAGCCAGTGGTGAAGGTGTTTTTGTTCAGTCAAGGAGTTTGGTCACACAATCGTGGAAAATCCGTGTCATCCTGTTTGCTCTGCCGGAGGTCAGTAGTCCGCGAGGGTCGACGGTGGCGCATGGAGTAGAGACGGTGGCCGGGAACCGCAAGGTTCGAGCCCCGGCTGCTCCATGTGTCCCCGAGCAAGACACCTAACCCCTAATTGCTCCCCGGGCAAGAATGTAACAGGCCACGGGTTCAAAATGCAATGGAAGTGGCTTTGAATAAAAGCGTCAGCTAAATGACCTGTAATGTGATGTAGTCTCCCCGGAACGATGAGCCTTCGATGAGCTACGAGCAAACCTCCACACTAAGCCGAACGTAGAACAAGTTTGAAAGAAACCGTGAGGCCCCAGTCTCTCTCTCTCTCTCTCGAGCCACTGGCTTGTTTGTGCGCTCTCTTCTTCTCAGGAAGTCCTCACATCCGCTCTGCAGAGACCCCATTGTTCTCCCCACTTCCTGTTTCCTCTGCTCGGTGCTTTTCCAAAACAGAAAAGTCATTCTGTGAGGCTCAAGGAGGGAAAGATGATTTGATGAGAGTTAATCTCACAGCCAGTGCTGATTATTGGGGTCCAGTTGTACCATTTGTGTTTGTTTCTCTACTGGGGGGTCAGCACAGCTCTGGCTCTACAAAGTTCAGATCTTGGCAAAGTACACGACATGCATTCTTGTTCTTGTTCAGGGGGGCTCCTGCAGGCCTCAGTGCCCTCCTGTGCCAGGCAGCGCTGTCCCAGCTGCTGCAGAACGACCTCTCACCTTTCCACTGCGCCCGGGAACCTGGGCCCAACCAGGAGGAGGAGCAGGAAGTCGTGTGTAAGTGCACTTAAAGTTCACTGCAGTGTGTGATGCTCTGTGGTATCGTGCTGGAGTCTCTAGTCTCAGCTTAATGGTAAAAGGGAGTGTGAGGGGGTTCAAACTCAGTCCTGAGCAGCACAATACGATGGCGTAGTCACAGGTAGAGGTGGTGCATTACAAGTCTGTTATCAACAGCTGCTGTCCTCCCGTTTGTTCCGTGTCCTCTGCACGTAGAGGAAGCACAACGTGGTAGAAACACGTGTTCATGTCCACCCCTCTGTCTTTGAACCCTGCCAGTGCTGGAGTCCGAGGGCGTGCAGCGCGTCTTCCTCAACCAGCTGATAGAAGTGACGCTGGCCTGGTCTCAGGACTTCCCCAAGCATCCGCCGCCGCCCTCCCAGTTCCTCCACTGCTCCGTTCACAGCATCAAGAACACGAGGAGGAAAATGGAGGACAAACATTTGGCCCTTGGCTGAGTTCAACCAGCTGCTTGGAGTCCAGGTGAAACGGCTTCACTGCTGCTCCTCGCTGGTGTTCTTCTCAAAGCAGCTTCAGGATCAACAACAGCCTTTCTTTTCCTCTGTCCGCCATGGTCCAGAGCCAAGACCAGTGTGCTTACTACGCTGTGTTCGATGGCCACGGGGGCGTGGACGCTGCCACGTACGCCGCCACTCACCTCCACGTCGCTCTGAGCAAACAGGAGTCACTGCAGAGTGACGCAAGCTCCGCCCTCAAGATGGCCTTCAAGCACACGGACGACATGTTCAGGGGCAAAGCCAAGAGAGAGGTACACAAACACACTCACACACACCATCACACACCATCACACACACACACACCCCATCACACACACCCCATCACACCATCACACACACCATCACACACACCATCACACACACCCCATCACACACACCCCATCACACCATCACACACACCATCACACACACACACACACACACCATCACACACACACACACACCATCTCAGACACACACACACACACACACACACACCATCACACACACACACACCATCACACACACACACACACACACACACACACCATGAGAGTCTTTCAGCTTTGCTCATCGGTGCCACAATCAACATCGCATGGATCTCAGATGATGAATTCTACGATGAATGACAGACAGCTGAGATTAGAAGTACAGATGACATTAGAGACCCGTAAACACTGCACGCTGTCTGGGCTTCTGATCCATGGCGTGTGTTGCAGCGTCTGCGGAGCGGCACTACGGGAGTGGTGGTGCTGATCCAGAGACAGCAGCTGTCGGTGGCCTGGCTGGGAGACTCTCAGGCATTGCTGGTCAGAGGGGGACAAGCTGTGACCCTCATGGACCCCCATAAACCAGATAGAGAGGTAAGGATGTCTCTCACACACACACACACACACACGTGCAAGTTCCTTGGCCAAAGTCTGACTTTCAGATTTAGTTTATTTTATAACTATAATTTACAACACGCACAACTCAACCATTTGTTCATCATGAACATTGGCTGTTAAATACTGCACACGTAGATAACACGTTAATCAGGCATCTGGGGGGAGGAGCTCAAACCACAACAAAAGGGCACCTGTCGCCAAAATGATTAATGTATTTAAAACGAATAAGAACGCAGGATATTTTCATTTATTTTGTTAACTCAGTCTGACTATTATTCTAAGGTACAAGAGGCTGCACTTTGAGCACGTCGGGGGGAAACTCTCACGAGAACTCAAATACATGTCACGTATCAAAACACATTTGGGGGGAAGTCATTTTTATTCTTAAATATTGATGAATGAAGAAACAATTGGGCTCCAGCAGAAGGGGCACTTTTCCCATCCGGGGCCAAAGGTCAGCAGCAGCATGTGTGCACGTGCCTGACATTGATAATAAAGACACTCACGTTCCTCATGGTTTCATGGTTGTGCTGCAGTCTGTGTGTCGCTGTGGCATCACTGTCCGTCTGTGACCAGCCCACTGGACAGACGTCCACACCTGAGACAACGGGCCGGCTTGGAGGGAAGGACATGTCCCCCCCCCCATGCGTTTAGTAAAAAGCTGAGTCGGCATCCTCTGCAGCTCAGTAACCACGGCGCTGATCGGTGCCTAGAGGAAGACGCTTTACTCAAACCCGGGCAGTCAATGAGACCACCTTTGTCCCCCTCCCAGGATGAGAAGCAGAGGGTTGAGGACCTCGGGGGCTGCATCACCTTCATGGGCTGCTGGCGGGTTAATGGCACCTACGCCGTCTCCAGGGCGATCGGTAAGTCAACACGTCTGGGGACATTTTGGATTGCACGAGTTTAATTGTGTCCTTGAGGTTTAAAAGGCTCCCGGATGCCTGAGTGAGGGACAAGCAGAGACCCCCCGGGGGGGAGGAGTTCCCTCTGCGAGTCCTCTGGGGCGGGACATCCACCACGGCGCCTCGTGGTGGGCTTCGTTTGGCTGTACGCTGCTCATCACACCACAAATGATCAGTTCCCACACATTTCTCATTTGTTTACTACTCTATGTGGTGGAAATTTGTGGATTCAGCCCTCAAAAGTATCAGAGACTCGCTTATGATTAAGTATTTTAGTAACTAGGATATAGGAAAAATCATAAGAATCCAGTAATGATCAACACAAGTACAGACAGAAGTCAAATGACTACGATTCAGCTGGAAAGGGACAAGAGGAGCTAGAAGATCTGACAGAGTTTCTGGGGGAGAGCAGGAGCTTTTATCCATCTCTGAAGGTTCGAGGAAGAGGGAGACCCTCACACCCCCTCCCCCCCATTAAGGGAGATTAGTAGTAAACAGATGGCGTTTGGGAACATCAGCGACCTCCTCTTAATGGGACCTAATCGTATTTGACAGATAAGAACAGGATACGGTCTGTCCAGACCCCATCTGGAAACCTGGACACCTTCGTGGACTCAGCTCACGAGTTTCCCAAGAAGCAGAGTCCTGCTCCCTCTTGTGGACGTTTAGGGAAACTGCAGGAGGAAGCGTTTCATTTCACTGAGACCGTGTTACATTTATGAATTCTGGTTTTCAGCCTTTTGCACATTTGCACTGTGATTTACAAACAACAGCCCGGCCTACACGACGTTTAACATCCTCGTGCCTCTTCCAGGGGACTTTGACCAGAAGCCCTACGTGTCTGGAGATGCTGACTGCGTCACGACGCAGCTGTTAGGGGACGAGGACTACGTGCTGCTGGCATGCGACGGCTTCTTCGACGCAGTCGAACCTTCAGAGGTCCCACATCTGGTCCGGGAGGCACTCCGTCGGCCCGCTGACCCCGAGGACGTCGGAGACGCTCCGCTGGAGCAGTCGGAGGACGCGGCCGGACTGCGAGTCGCTCAGCAGTTGGTGTGTCACGCTAAAGAGGCGGGATCCAGTGATAACATCACCGTGATGCTGGTGTTCCTGCGCCCACTCAAGCAACTTGTGGGCCAGAACTCCACCACAGGAGCAACGCAACAGTGAGGGAGGAGCACTGCTGCTCCTCTGTGCTAAGCTACTGCTGACTCCCAATGCTAACAAAACATGCAAACACAGCGTCTACTCTTACTCGTCATTTTGGTGGAAAACTGTTACTTCAACTGTATCTTCTGAGCGGTTTGACAGATGATACAGGGACAAATCTCGCCGCGCTGCCGGGGCAGAGGTGAGTTTGTTTATGACCGTTTGTTTAGGATATGCACTATCCGAGCATCATGTCAACCTGTGAAATATGATTTGTTGTGAATATGAAACCACTTTAACATCAGCACCCGGTTGCCTTAAAGAGGCAAGTGGAAAGTGTTTTTCTGCCTGAACGCAATTTCAGCAAATGTTGGTTGGTTAGATCTCTGCCCTCCATAGTTACCGTTGCCACGCCGGTGGAGCTTTCTGCTCTCACAGTATTTCTATAAGAGACCTGGACGAGGCCTCATTCAGTCTCTAAGCTGCACACGCAAACCAGGTTGGACAAATGTTCCGTGTCCATCGGCCAATAGAGCGAGTGGAGACCAGTGTCCCCTTTACCCCCCCAGCCTCAGCCCGGCTCGCTTACAGAGACAAAAATAACCCTGCTTCACAACTTTGAATGGAATAAGAAACGACCGGCTCCTTTAATTGTGGCTGCATAACCCAATAAGCCAAACATAAGCTAACTCTTTGCCTTGAACCTCTGCTGTGTTAACACTCGAGGTCTGAAAACAGTTGTATTTAAATATGCTAATGAGCAACCGCAGCTCAGCGAAAGGTCACTATACACCCGTATGTTCTCTATGCATTATCTGTATTACATTTCAATAAAGAGTTTGATTGCACCCATTAATCAAGTGAGACTGGATTCATACTGACATTGATTTGCGTTTGTCATGTTGCTTAATATACTACATGAAACTACAACAGTATTTCTTACATGTGGTACCTTCTTGTTTTGTATTTCGTTGTCTTTTGGAGAACAGTTCATACAGATATTGTTGCTGTAATCGTTTGGTGGTGCCTGTTGCATCATATTCAGTATTAAATGATGACTTACAAACAATGACAGATAAATCCATCATCTGGAGGCGGATTGTTTGTTGGCACAGCGGACGGTCAAGTCTCCCCAAGATCACGACAAACGGGTGAAAACGCAAGAACTCAAATATAAACGTACATGTTACATATTAGACGCTTCCCTTTCTCACCTTCATTCCTGTGGTCCAGTTTGCATTTCCCATGTGTGGTGGTCGCACATCCCTCTGCTGGTGGGCAAGAAGGTACCACATGCATGTTTTCCAGAGGTTCTGTATGTATTTGGTCTTTAGTGGACTGCTCCTCTCCACCCATCCACACACGAATGGTGGATTGCCTGCAGACTGCTTCCTGAATTGACGTTTCCATGGCAACATTATTGTGGTTGATCCAATTCTTCACCACTATAAAAATACCTCCAGAGCCAGAGGGGGAAGAAGCGCAGGCCTCACTGGCCTCAGTTAAGGTCAGAGGTCATGACCCAACAATAAGAGCGAGGCGGGGCAAACATTGCGTCCACGGGAGAGTTCCAAGAGGCTTGTCTCACATTCACTAAGAAGCATTGTGATGATCCCCAAGAAGGCATTTCATAAACCCCATCATGTCACACATGGGGGGCGGAGTCCTGCTCTACCAGAACGCCCCAGCAGGTCACCTCTGAACGATGAAGGTGCTGGAGTCAAAGCTTGGACTTGGATCTGATGGGGATGCTGTGACATGACCTTTAATCCTCAAACCTTCCATGTGGCAGAATTAATAAGAACCTGTAAAGAGGGGGGGGGGGCAAACTTCCCCCACAGCGATGTGAAGAGTCATGACCCGTCATCACAGACGCTTGATGTCAGTTGTCCCCCCAGAAACCAGCTGACCTCTACACGCAGGGCCAGGTAGGTTTGAACTGCTTTTCTCCCTCGATCATGATTTAAAGTGTATTTTGTATTAAATCAGTCTTTGTTCGCTGGGATCGAATCCAGCCCCCGCCCACCCCCCCGGGACCCTGTCTGAAGGACAAGCGGCTCTGAAGATGGATGGATTGATCTCGTTTGAAAGATATGCCCCAGAATAAGAAGGAAGGGGCGAATGCGTTTTGACGGCATTTAGATGATGTGTTGTGATTATAAGGAACAGGCCCGTGCCACATGGGGCACACCCTGCAGAGCTGGCCAGACCTGCCTGGAATGCGGTCTCAGGTGGGGTGGGAGGGGACGCGTACGCTAGTCTCGTTTCAGACACACTGCATGAGAGGACAAACCGTGGGAGCCATTCGTCCAAGCGAGACCTCCAGGTAAGAGCTGCCTGATTGTGTCGCTTTGCATCGCCTAGAAACAAGATGCGGCTCGTCTCCCCTACGTGAGCTACAGAGGCGTTCTGTAGCTCACGAGAGAGGTGTTCTCATGGTACTGTGTACTACTCCGCTTCCGTGTGCGTTTCTATAACCGCTGATCAATATGCCATGGAGCCATGGGTAGTTATCGTTATTAACATTTAAGATATTCATAACAAGTGGACCTCTTAACTCATCGTCAATGCTACGTGAACTATGGATGCTACATGATGATCCACAGTCCAGCCAGTAGTTGAAGGTCCGTTGGTCTCTGGGACGTTGGAGAAGGTCTGCGTCAGACGTCGCCTGGCACAAAGACACAGACCCCCCCGTGCTCTTCTCCTGGAATCCGGTGGGATGTTCAGGGTAGCGTTTGGCGCCCTCTTGGGGCCTCACTGCTTCTACCATAGCGGCCTGCAAAAATGACCACAACGCCACATTGGGAATCCTCAACTGCCACGACGGACAATCGAGAACTTCCCCCTTTTCCCCGGATTGGATGGTGCGCTGGATCACCGCACGCCTCCAGCGAGAAGAAGAGAAGGAAGCGTGTGCGTCACCGGCTGGGGTTCACTTAAGGACCACTGAGCAATGTGCTCCATTACAAGCGTTGGCAGTGAGCAGGTTTCCTGCATTCGCTGGGGCACCTCGGCCCCTCAGCCCCCGAGCACCTGCTCCGAGTCTCTCTCGCTGCAGGTCCTGCTCTCAGGAGAGATAATCAGTGGTCATTACGTCCAGCTGTGCTCGCTCGTTACCTGCCGGCAGCGTTCCCTGGACCCCCCCCTTCCCTCCGCCCCCTCCCCCCTGCAGCTGAGCTAACCACGCCCCCGCCACCACAGTGTGATAACTGGTTAAACTGGTCTCTGCCCGGTAGATGGCGCACGCTGCTGGTTCCCCCGCAGCTGCCAGCCGGCGACGCTGGTGGCATTTGAGACAGCGATGGAGGATGGTCGGCGTGTTTGAGGTCAACCAGGAGCACGAGTTCTACCATCTGACGTGCATGATGAAAGAAGGCATGCGTGCTGCCATCCAGGCCACTACGGAGACGTCCGGCCAGGTGAAGGCGACCAGTTGTACGATTGTATTGTGTTAATGTGCATATTAATTCCCTCGTAATCACTTCACCTTTTGCACAGGATACACCTGCGGCCGAGGAGTTCAAGGTGAAGCAAAGTCACGAGGCGAGTGCAGCTGACGACACGAGCTTTGTCTTTGTTCACATCCCATCCAATTGCAGTTATCTAGATCTCATGCATTCACACGTTCATTTCGTTGTGAGGATTGCTGTGTCAAGCTGCTTAAAAGCCACGTGGTGACGTTGAGTCTTTGCCTTCTAGGGGTTTGAGATGCTGACATTCGCAGCATCGGCGTTTGCTAAAGTGAGGCGTTCAGTGGACGTCACCGGTGAGGAGTACGTGAGCTCCTTCTGCTCAGAGGACTGCTACCTGCAGTTTGTCAGTAACTCCAAGAGCAAGGCTGATTTCTTCATCACGTGAGCGCGACCTACACACAACACCTTCCATGAGTACTCCTCCCAACTCAAGGTTCATCTACACCCACGATGCCTTCACCCTAAAACTCCTTCCTCCAACACCAACGCTCGCTCCAAGCCGCTTACAGTGCGTTTCAGTCACTGCTCAGTCCGCCAGCAGCTCCTTGTGCAATAGATTTTAATAATCTTTACGGATATAAGCTTAGTACTGTGCATTTAAAAAAACAAATACACTTTTTACAGATCAAATTAACATGAAGCGGTGAAAGAAAAGCGTGCATTTTCCAAAAAGGGTTCAAGGCGATTCATCTCTTAAAAGCAGCTCCCGTCTTCGTGGATCATCACGCCCCGACGGGGCGCCGAAGGGCCCAAACCTCAGTGTATTTTAGATGATGTCACTCATTTATCTTTAAGGAGTGATTGGCCGACTGCTTCTTAGACCAGAGACGAGCGGAGAGTTCAACCTGTGTTCTGTTTGGTGCTCTTGCTCCAGCGGTGGCGTTCATGCCATCACACGCCGTGGAGCATTTGTGTTTCTTGTCTAGTGGCCATGTCGTTCTGTAGCTGTAACCAGTGAAGAAAGCAAACACGTGCTGTTGTCCTTGTAGGTTTAAAGGGGATTTACCACGTCGGTGTGCGTTCCCTGTTCTTCACTTTCCATTCTTGATTTTAGGAATGACAAGAGATTCTTCCTAAAGACCCAGAGCAAACGCGAGGTGAGGTTCCTCCTGTCCAACCTGCAGGCGTACATGGACCACCTGGAGAAATACCCCCACTCCCTGCTGGTGCGGTTTCTCGGTGAGAGCAGCCCGGTGGCCTTTGTCGTGTTCGGTGAGATGTGCACGGGCCGAACTTAACCAGGGTTCTTTTCACTCCCCAGGTGTCCACAGGATTGTTATTCCCAATCAAATGAAGGTAGTTCATCGATTTAATATAACAGACAATAGGTCAAAACATCACGCTTTACCCTCACAGTACCTGTCTGTCCTCCAGAAGTACTTCATTGTGATGCAGAGCGTGTTTTACCCTGACGACAGGATCGACATCAGGTACAGCGTCTGCCAGTGTCACGTTACTCTGCGTCTCTGATGAACTCAATGACCTCAACGCTCCACAGATACGACATCAAGGGCTGCGAGGTGGGGAGATGGACCGACCCCGACGAGGGCGGAAAACAGACCCTGAAAGTGCTGAAGGACAACAACTTCAAAGGACAGTCCATAGCATTAGGTGAGCTGCTCACTCTCCTCACTCTCTAAAGTCACCCGACGCACACTAAGCGGAGGTCCTGCCCCCCCGTTGCTTTAGGTCAAGAAGAATCCTGGTTTGCCGGCCAAGTGAAAGCGGACGCTGCTTTCCTTCAGGGGATCCGCGTGCTGGACTACAGCCTCCTGCTGGCCCTTCAGCCGCTGCACGCCGATGAGCTGGAAGGGAAGCACTCTTTTGCAAACCTTGTTGTTCGCACCACAAAGTAGGTGTTCCGTGTCCCTTTGAGCAGCTGCAACCAGAGCGCTGGGCCTCTGCAAAGGAAAAGCCCCCTAATGCCCCGAAAGAGCGATAAACAGACCAGACCGCTCTCTGCTATCTGCCCCACAAACACGTGATTATCATGCAGGGGGGGGACTGTGTGCAGCTTGGGTCCTTCCAAAAGCCTTTCAATCAAAGTCATTACCCGTAACGTCATAAACCGTGTTGTCTTTACCCGGGATGTCATAAACCGTGTAGTCTTTACCCCAGAGTGTGTTCCACGACCCAGATGGACCCTGGGTTCAGTGATCTGTTTACCCCCCTCCCACTGTGTTCTGTGGATTCCTTTTGTCTTTCCCAAAGGTCTATGGACTTGGATGACAGTCCCGCCGGTTCACACCCCCCCAGCCCTCCGGCAGCGGCAGAGACCATGGCGGCATCAGAGGAGCCTCTCCAGGAGACACACGACTCCGAGCTGCAGGAATTCCTTGAGCACCACCGCAGGCTGCTGCCCGACTGCAAGAACGCAATCCACATGGTGGACGGGCCAGACCACCGCTACTTTGTGGGCATTATAGACATCTTCACTGTGTACGGCTGGAAGAAGAGACTGGAGCATGCGTGGAAATGTGTCCGCTACCCAGGCAGGGCCTTTTCCACCGTCCGGCCCGCCAAATATTCCCACAGATTCTGCCAGTGGATTCAGGACCACTGCCAGTGACACAGAGATGAAACCATCGGCACGCATGTGTCGCCGCCGCGCTTCGGGGGCTCCACCAGGACGCCATCACCGGCATCTGTGCACAGGGATGTCTGTGTAATAAAGAGAAAAGAATTGAAACCTTGCAGTGATATTGTCAGATTTTGGAGAGGAGTGTTGATTTATACTTTGGTTTTGTACATTGGGAAATAAAACAACTTTAAATACCTTGAAAATGTGTTATTTCGTGTTTAGTGGCCATGTCGTTCTGTAGCTGTTCTGAGGAGATGTCACTGGGGGGGGGGGGCACAGTGTGGCTTGCTGGACGAGTCCTGACCTCCAGCAAACCTCCAAGCTGCAAAAAGAACCACTCTGACTCCCCAACGGCCGACGCAGTGCAGCAATGTGGCTGCTGCTCCTCAGCTGCTACCACAGCTTGGTCCTCCCCAAACAAAACGTCCATCCAATGAAAAATGCAAATAGAAATGTCAAAAGCTGACAAAAAACAATCAACTAAAAAAGGGGGACAGTGTCCACCTCAGCAGCAGTTCCACGGTGCGCACAGGGTTGGTGCATCTGCCTCTCATCGGTCTGCAGAGACCATGCACCTGATGAAGAGGAGCGCACTGCGATGAAGAGGTCAACGTGCCCGGTGGGCGGGACTAGAGTCTTTTTGGACGCTGAGCAGGAGGAGAGGGCTGACCTTTGACCTTTGAGGCGGTCGCGCAGCGCGCTCCCGCGCAGCAGGGGGCGGTGTGCTCCCCGAGCTGTGTGCGACTCTCCCTTTAACTGTGACCTGAGGGAAAAGGCGCACGCGACTTTTTGAGCCTCTTCGGCCGCCGTCGGCGCGTCGAAGTAAACATGGAAGCGTCCCGGACGGAGTACTGCACTGTGCGGGACCAGAGGGACCAGCCTGAGCTCCTTTGCTACTCGCGAGCAGAACACGGACTGTCCAACATCTGGTGAGAGGAAGCGCGTGTTACACGTGCGCGTCAAGGCGAATATTGTGCGCTATTATGGATCGTCCAGATGTTGAAAGTGCTCATCAGTGAGGACATGGGTCATAGGTCATAGGTCCAGGGCTGGACACAATAATGTGAACAGAGGGATCATTCAATCCAATGTGACGATCGTCACGTGTGTGTGTGTGTGTGTGTGTGTGTGTGTGTGTGTGTGTGCACGCGGACTGATCTCATCACCGTTTTGTGAATCTTGAGTTTGACAGATGCAGCCGACGTGTGGAGCACGGAGCACACGGAGGACACGCTCAACCAGTTTGTAAGTTTCTCCCCCCCTCCCCCCTCCCCCCCCCATGGGGCTGCTTGTAACGACCCCTGTTTGTTTAGAGACAGAGGTTCGCCGTGGCGTCTACGGAGGACTTCATCGTGAAGCTGAGGTGAGGCCGCGATCCGTCGTCCTCTGGACCTCGAGGCCGTCCTCCCAGCCTCGTCCACGGCGTCACTTCTGTCCGTGTTCCCCCAGGGCGGCCTGTGGACGAGGACAGGCGTCCGTCGTGGCGCACGGCCCCAGTGCGGTGGTCCGGGTGCGCTCCGGGTCGGGTGAGCAGAGCGTGGCGCTGTGCAGGCTGGACGGCCCGCGGGCCGCGCAGGAGCTGAAGGAGCAGCTGTTCAGCATGGCCGCCCGCCTCACTCGGCCTGACCGTAAACGCTCCGCTCACACTCTGCATCACTCGCCACCCTGCTGTCTGCTGCTGCACCTTCATGCAGCACATAGTGATCCATCAGCACTGTAGTGATCATCCATGTCGTTGTATCCTCTAGATGGATCCCCCTCTGCCAGTCCAGTCAAAGGTCACCGAGCGCCGCCTGCAGGTACGCGTTCAGGGCCGCATGCCAAAGGGCCAAGATATCCACCACATGAATCCAGATGTGTTCCAATCTGCAGAGTGTGTGTGTGTGTGTGTTGATTTTTGTTCCATCACTTTATGGAGATCTCATTTGTTTCTGTAGAGTTTAAACCGCAGCAGCAGCAGCAGAACTGGACTCCATCAAAGGCGATGAAGAAACGACTTCCGGGTGCTTCGCTCATCAACCCCGGAGCTAAAAGGTCCAACGTGTCCAGAACAAATGTTCCATATCACATCACAAAAGCTCCTGCTTTAGTTGTCCATGTCCTCGACATCTCTGAAGGTGTCTTACGTCTTATCTTAGGACGCATTGCTTCATGCAGTACTGCTATTCTATAACCTCAATGAATGATTTAGTCTTTTTCCATACTTGCTAATGTAGCAATGATTTACTTTGACACGCGTGTCTCTCTGCTCGTGTAACTGTTGCTAAGGAGCCTCTGAACATGCCGGCGTTTTCCTGCTGAATCGTGTGTTCTGGTTTGTGTGCAGGAAGCTGCAGGCGACGGGCGTCGCCTTTGACGAAGAGGATGAAGAGGACGAAGAGGATGAAGACTGATCCTCCGGACGACGTTCAAACGTGATGTTCTTTTAACCCGCAAACGAATATTATGACATTTTTATTCATTCATCCATTCGTGTGTCTACTCTTAACGCAAAGCATATCAATAGAAACTGGGCAATGATAGTTAATGTTATTTAAATCTGTCAATAAATGAACTGCTGAGTTTTATATCGGGTTGAATTTAATGAAATCTGAGAAATAAAGCTGTGAAAATGTAAATCTAGTGGTAGTGTATCTGTTGTAGAAGAAACAAAGACTGTCCATAACTCCGGTATTCTTCAGGAATGTGGGGACGTGTTGATGAAACACTCTCAGGGGTCAGATGTACAAACTTGTGTGTAAAAGCAGAAACGGTCACACAAACAGATACTGGTTGATTGGTCTGACGTCGGTGTCCAGATGCTGTTTTATCCAAATGACAATAGAACGATGCTTTGCGTCATGAATCCATATGAAATGTTGGATCTGTGATTATTGATTATTATTGATTAGTCTGTTTCAGGATGATCCTTCCAGCTCTATTTAATCACACAAGGATCTCTAAAGATATTGATGAGTTTTCATGTTTGTACTTTCATAATAAAAGTCAACTATTTCAGTTTAACTCGCACCAAAGAAAGAACAACAATCTTCTTTTATTACCTGTTTAATGATAATCGTTTCCAAGTAGGAAAACCTCCCTCGGCCACAGTAACGATCACAAAATCAGAGTGTTACAAGTTGTGAAAGAAGTGGACCAGTTTGGACAGGAATCAAGTGCTGCTAGCTGATGTTCCATAAAACACGTCCTCCGCGGTGTGTTGTGTCCAGGGTCCGCCTGTGATCAGGGTCACAGTGCAGGTGTTGATATCAGACTGTTGGACTGCTGATAAAATAATGGAAGTATTACTGATGGTTCACAGGGTCCATAACATAATGTGTTAAAAGCACAAACAGCAGCATTCAGTGTCAGAGGTGAGAGAAGGGAGGCACAACAACGCGCACATTCACAAAAGGCCAACAGCTCCACGCACGTCCCGCTACCCAGGATGCATTTCACTTATTGCAGAATAAACCAAGTCATTCTCTGTCCGCTTCAATATCCAAAATAAAACTTTCTTCTTGCCACAGAAAAATAGACTGTATTACACGACCAGTGGTCCTCCTCTTCCATGAGGCCCCCCGGGGGGCTCCGGGTGACCTGCGCTGGCAGGCGGTCTCTAACATGCCCCCCCGTGAGTAAAGGTCGCCGAAGCGCCCGACTCGGCCATCTTTGAGATACATTCCCAAGAAAATACATAAGAAGGAAACATTCTGGGACGAAGGGTAAAATCCACATGCAGGCGCTGCTGCTGCTGCAGCGTCTCCTCCTGCAGGCTCCTCTCCTGCACCACCTGCCTCCACCCGGGGATAGAAACACACAGGCTGCCTACGGAACTACTGCTCCCAAGTGGTGCAGACAGTTTGGGTCCTCTTCAGAGTTTAACCAGCAGGCCTCGGGGATCAGTCAGACGGGTTTGGGCTCCTCTCCTCCTCTCCTCTCCTTCCTCCTCTCCTCCTCTCCTCCTCTCTACAGGGCTCATTCAACAGAGAGTGTCTGTGTTGAAGGAGAGCTGCACCTGCAACGACACACAAGTCCACTTTACGTTTCATGCTTATGAGGAGAAACACTGTGTGTTACATCACACCGCCTTGCGTCGCCGTGGGGACCAAAGAGGAGCATCTCCTGTGATCCGACCAGCTGGAGTCAAAAGGAAGCATCCATCGTGTGTCATCTACACCTGACCCACACAAAGCACTGCTGAGGGGGGGCCGCGAATCCCTCAGGCCACATGTAGTAAAAAGCCTCGTCACAGCGTGTGATTCATCTGCACTCTGTCTGCCCACTGAGACACGTCCCCACAGGACAGACACGTCCCCACAGGACAAAGGCTTAGTGACAGAGTCCATCACTGAGTGGGTGGATGGCTCATGTGTACAGAATATATATATATACACATATATATGAGGATATATATTATATATTTATATATATAATATATATCTCTATATATCTCTCTATATATCTCTCATATATATATATATATATATATATATATATATATATATATATATATATATATATATATATATATATATGAGATATATACATATATATGATATGATGCTAAATTAATAAATAAGTATCTTACTTCCTGCCTATTTGTCACCATAAAAATGACGGACATTAAATATATAAATGTACTTGTGTGTTTCTGTGTATTCTTCTACACATTTCATATTATCATTTAGTTATTTGATTAATCACACATTTAGTCATAGTTTTATGATTGTATATTTATTTATTTATATAGACTTTAGTTTAAAATCAACCGTCCAACATTGGAAAGTATAATTTTTAGTTTTTTCAGCCTGCAAAACAAATATTAAAATGAATTTAAACCACAAAAGATTGTGTTCTTAATGACTCGGCCATAAACACTTGAAACACTGGTCTGTCAACGTTAAATGTCAATGTGGACATTGAGGTACGCGGTACTTATGGCGCTGCCCTTCCTGCAGCGTGAGGAAGAAGAGCGCGTGAGCCGCTCACCCTTTCCTCCTCGAAGCTGATGAGGCCTTCGTCGTCGTCGCTCTCCAGCTCCTCCGGCGCCTCGGCCATCAGGGCGCCGAGCTCCGTGTTGGCCGGCCGGGACTTCAGCAGGTCCAGGATGCGCTGCAGGGGGGAACGTCCGCCCCCGGGGGGCGACCCCGCCTGCTGCTCCAGGTTATCGCTCTGTTTCTTGGCAAAGTTGACAAACACCTGAGTAGAATAAAGGGGTTTATTTGATCCGGTGCTCCTCGTCCTGCACGGAGAAGATCCACAGTTAGGAGCTGACTCACATTGTCCAGAGTGGTCTGACTGACAGAGTACTCCTCGATGCCCAGCACCTCCACCACCTGCTCCATCTTACTGAAGACCTGAGCCAGGGAGATCCGCTCAGACTTCAGCTGGTACTGGATCTTGGTGTGGTGACGCTCCTGCAAACACCACAGGAGGCTCAAAGGCCGAGGAGACTCACCCGACCCCCCCCGCTCATCGCAGAGGGACGAAACAGAGCATGAGAGGGGCAATACCCATCAGGACAAACCCCAGCATTAAGGGACAGAGGCGTGTTTAGCGCGCGGGGCGGAGTCAACAAGGCGAGGGCGGAGCCAAACAACACAGCAGGACGACGTGTTAAATCCCACTCAGCCATACCTCTTCATACAAGGGCTCTAGTTACGTGATCGTCATCAGAACAATGGACACTAATCTGAGCCATCATCAGAGAAAGCAGGAGTCTACCTTCAGCACGGCCTCGGGGAAGTTCCTGTTGAAGAACCGAACCACCTCCTTCACGTTGGAGCTGATCTTGGTCCTCACTGTGATCATGTAGCCATCCCCAAACCTGCAGCGTCGTCACAGCACGGCGAGGGCAGACGTTAGTTTAAAGGCGCCTTTCCACTGGCTGTGAACAAGGTGACTGAAGGTGCAGACAGAGCGAACAACGTGTGGCCTCATCCTGCAGTGAAGTGATCACGTCTCCACTTCGCTCCAACTCAAACAGGCTTTTAAGCAAATCACCCAAAAGTCAGACGGGTTCAGTAGCCTAATAAATAAAGTCCATCTACTGGAAAAGGTTCGATCCCCGAGACCGAGTAATGTTAGTCACTGATGGACAGCTGTCCTCTGACCCGTAGTGTTAAAAGGAAGACTAGTACAGTTTATTGAACAGATGAAACATGTGTCCTCCCGACCTGTTCTTGAGATGCTGGATGCTGCCCAGGCATTTGAACCGGCCATTCACCATGATGCCCAGCCGGGTGCACAAGGCCTCGCACTCCTCCATGCTGCAAAAGACCGCAGGAGAATGCGTCATTGACCCCTACGGGGACCGAGGACAGAACAGCAGAGAGACGTCTCACCTGTGTGACGTCAGCACTACGGACCGGCCCGTCTTGATGATGTCCAGGATTAAATTCCAGAGGAATCGCCGCGCCTTTGGGTCCATGCCAGTGGTGGGCTCGTCCTGCAACAACCCCCCAAAAACACACAGTCAGATGCTAAAAAGCAGGTGGTGGGTTCAACGATTGCAGCTGGTGTGGAGCGTCACAGCGTGTCACTGGTCCTGTGCCCTGCAGGGGGTCCTACCAGGAAGATGAGTGAGGGGTATCCAATGAGAGCGATGGCAGTGGAAAGCTTGCGTTTGTTTCCTCCGCTGTAAGTCGCTGCAGGCTTGTCAGCATACTTGGACAACTCCAGCTTTTCCAACGCCCACTGCACCACCTGGAGGGGCCGAGGGACAACACCACCCGTCATGTTGACAGTGTGGGGGTCTGAACTAGTGAGAAACTCCTGATGACAAATACTCTGATGTATTTATTTGTAGGAAGCAGTGTGTGCGCGTGTGTGTGTGCGTGTGTGTGTGTGTGTGCGAGGCTCACCCTCCCCTGGTCTTTCCATGGAATGCCACGGAGACGCGTGTAAAGCTCCAGATGTTCTCTGGCCGTCAAGTCGTCAAACAGAGCATCAAACTGTGGACAGTAGCCGATGCTCTGCTGCACACGTAACAGGTCCTTCAGAATGCTGCACGCACACACACACACACACACACACACACACACACACACACACACACACACAGGACAGGACGGTCACAATCCCTTTGACCTGGATGGTTCTGCTGTCCATGCGTCCGTCCTGCCTCGCTTGCTGACGGGTAAAGAAGAAGCCACGAAGGCGGACGTGTTTTGGCGGCGCTGACCTGTTTCCGTCGATGAAAGCCTCCCCCCCAGTGGTGGCCTCGTCTCCCGTTAGCATCTTGAAGGTGGTGGTCTTCCCCGCTCCATTGACTCCCAGGAGTCCGAAACACTCGCCAGGCCGGACGCCCAGACACAGGCGGTCCACTGCCAGGATGCGGCCCATCTTCCTTGATTTGTAAACCTGGAACCAGCAACGGAAACCAAGCGTGTGTCTTCATGGGAATCATCAAGTTCTAACTGGTTGGTGGAGCGTCTACTGGTGTGCACATTTCTTGGAGGCCCAACCGGGAATCTGCGTGTTATTTTTCTAACTATTATTAATTAAACCTTTGTCAGGTTCTCGATCTTCAGCATGTCGTCGTTGGCGTCTCCTCGCAGCACTCTTCGTCTCTCACAGGCCACGTCTACATCGTCATCGTCGATTGGCTGTGAGCTGACTGGCACCCTCCTGGACT